TACTTCTGAAAACAGCAATCCAAAACCGCGGTCTTTCTTGCGCACCCGCCGCCCGCCGCTTGCTGACAAGGAAAAAGCGAAAAAGGGAAGAAATGAAAGTGAGAGCTGTGAGAGCCTTTCTCCCGCAGTTGGTTAGGACTGGAGCCCAAGTTGCGGGAGGGGCTGAAGCCCTCTGCCATTCCAAACGAATAAGAAATTACGTCAATGCCTTTCTAAATCTATCTCGTTGGTGATTTGGGACGGTGCTGTATTCCGCGTGCTTTGCTTTTGAATTCGACTCTGTATGATCGCAAAACGGATTTTAAATTTGTGATTAACTGGGCGAGGATTAATCCTAAGCGGGTATTTCGTAAGTTGAGGTTCGCATATGAATCCGAACACGAATATGTCACAAATTCATGGACATGAAAAAATATGTTAAGCAGCAACCCCTTTATTCACGAAAATCGAACCGCAGTGGAACAGCGTGTGCTATTTTGACGCATGACGCACTGGCGGGACAACGACAAAGACGTTAAATCAACGCCTCAGGGGGGCAAACAATCATGCGGTGGGGCTGCCCATCTGTCGCCATTCGCTGCAGAGGGTCAGAAAAAAGGCGTTTAGCGCATAAGGGTGCAAAGCAAGCTTTCGCATGATGAGTTGCGGCACCGATACTTCTTATGTTGGGGATTTGAACCGTAAAGAGATCCGGCTAATTGTCAGGTGAATATGCAATCAACATTTCAGTTTATTCTCATCAAGAGCCACAGGAAACTTCAATCACATTACTTTTAAGCACTCCGAAGGACGGGGGGGGGGGTGATAGTCGAGAAAGCTGTTGCAGAAAACTACTAGGGGTTCTCAATGAAAATTGTTTCAATCATTGGAGTGCCATGGAGGACGGTTGTGGTGGCTGCAACATGGGCCATGTCGCATTTTCCATCTGAGGAACTTTCTTTAGAAAACAGATGGGCGCAAAATGACCATTGCAGCCGACGCACCCGAACACACCAATAAACAACAACACAATCTTTAAAAAACAGAGCATATGAATATTCGAAAATGGAATGGAAACTTCGCAAATGGGACGGCTGGGGCATGGTTACAGGTCATTGGTTCCATCGGTTCCAGCCCACTCTCACGGGCGCAGATAGCCGGCATCCATCCGTAGTTGGCAGATGCAGGGTTGAGAGCCTTCGCAGCCACGCCGATGCCTTTCGCGGCTGGAATTCGCGTGACCGACAGGTGATTGGTCAGTCCCTCGTGACGTCACATCGGATGGGATCAGGGCAGAGATGCCGCTCTCTTAAGCCCAGCTGTGAACCCAGAAGAAGCGCTATCTTATCGGCGGGCGTTGGCCGCCGCCGAAGCCGCCGTGGTTCAATGTTCGTGGTGGCGCACGCGCGCCGTCTGAAGTGGGAGCCAGGCGCCGCACATCACTAGTGCTACTGCAAATAGTGCGACCGGCAAAACGGCGACGGTATCAGTTTTACGCGACCTTGCTTCTGCTGCAAAAGCGCTAACGGTCTTCACTTAGATGCTGCATTGCTTTTATTGCAGATGTATAAGCATTAGTGCTACACGGCATAAGTTATGCTTCAGGACCTTGTGCCCGTCATTACTTAACTTGCAAAAGCTTTTACGCCCTTTAAGCGCGACATTACTTCCACTGCCAGTTTTTATACGCGACATTAGTGCTACGCTGCTACGTTACACTACGCAATTCACACTTCGAAAACGTTTACACATAATACCTTCTGCTGCTAGAGCTTCCAGTTTTTACCCGTACGCGACAATATTTCCAGCTGCCAATGTCTGAGTGCAGCATTAGTGCTACACAGCAATATGTAACTTTCAAAACCTATTTTTTCTGCCCAAAAAACTTCTGTTGCCTTCACTCTTGTGTGATATTACGTCGTCTTACGTCTTCAACGAGACCTTAGTGCTTTACGACAAAACTCATGCTTCAAAGATTGTGTTCATCAGGACTTCTGCTTACAGGAGGAGCTTCGCCAAAATCGCGAAATCAAACTAGAAGTGTCCACTCCATCGCCTAGCAGCGTTACTCCTACTGCAGCCACTCTGATGGTCTACATTTATAACTTACGCAGCCTTTGCTTCTATGCGATGTAGAACAATCCAAGAAAATAATGTGGCGTAATAAATTGCTCACCGTTATTATCACCACCACGAACTTTTCACTCCCGAATAGTACACTTGGATTAGTCCCTGTCAGACAGCAAATCGTTCCTGCGCACCTGCTGGGCATCGACGCATTTTGCAACGTAAGCCTGTTTTAGACGGCCTGAGATTGTGTCCCATATCATATATCCGCAATAATAAGCCGCCTCGCCGCGAGGTGGCTGGGGCCTGAGCTGGGGCGGAAAAAATTATATCCCTTATGTGGTGGAATGGGCGGAGTGTGGCGACCTCTTGTGCTGCCATATCTACAACACTGCAAGAGTTCTGCCAAGGTCTGAGCTCCTTAATAGTGTCCCATTAGCTAGCGTAGAAGCACATGGGCTCATCTGACACCACATTATACAAATGCTTTCGATTACGGCAAAGTTAGGAGTGCCGGTAGTGTAGTGGTTAACGCGTTTGCGTTAACCACTGCGCGTCTGGGAAACCAGAGGTACGGAGTTCAATTCCCCGCGGTGCCCGCCCTTCCTGCCAAGGTGAGTGGCAGGCAACGCCATGAGCCTCAGCAGCTGAGTGCGTCGTAAGGCCCCAATGACACACACACACGGCAAAGTTTGGTGGTTATGGAAATGCCATTGCTTACAGAAACAACCGCTTGGCCCCTGATGTAGTCGCTAGAGCGATTCACATATGGCGAGAATAGGGTAAGGCGGGGACAGGTGGGACCGAGGACGGCGCAGGACAGGTGGCGGGATATGGAAACGAACAATGCAGGACAGCCAGGTCTTGTCCTGCTTTGCTCTAACATGCCCTCTTGCGAACCCTGTTCTGTCATTTTCTCTGGCCTGCCCTGCCTATCCCTGCCCACTCCCCCCCCCCCCTTACCGCCACGCCCGTCTAGTTTCGTTCTGTTCTGTGACATTCTTTTCCCTGTCATTCCATTTCAATACATTCTATCCCGTTCAGTTTAGTCAGTGCCGTGCTGTGCCATGCCGTGCGATGCTGTTTCGTTCCGTACGTGCTGTAGTGTAAGTACCAGTTGTGCATAAATGACGACCTCATAATTTTACAGTAGAAGTAATGAGTGGTGTAAGTTTGTTGGGCGCAATTTTTGCCGCGTGACACAAATGCCGCGTATAAGTATTGGTGTTGGAAGTACTGTTGTGCACAGGCTAAGACTATATGTTTTTTTTTTTGCAACGGAAGGAAAGACGGGTATAAGTTCTTGAAGCAGAAGCTGTGTCGTGTGACACTGATGCCGCTTGAAGGCATTAATAGATGTGATGCGCATATAGGTAAAGACTGTATGATTTTTTAACAGCAGACGTAATGACGGATATAACCTTTTAAAGCATGTGTCTTGGCCTGTAACAGTTGTATCGCTTAGAAGTATCTGCAAAAGAAGTGATGTCGCGCATAAAGCCAAGACTGAAAAAGTCTTTGCGGCAGAATTGCTGATGAGCGTAAGTTCTTGAAATGGAAGTTTGCCTGGTAGAAGTAACGTCGCGCTTAGGTATAGGCAGCAGAGGTAATGTCGTAGCAGTGCCGTCAGTAGGAATTCTGTTCGCAGCAATAACGTGGAGATGAGCCGCTGTCAGGACAGGACGGAGCAGAACCCAAACACTATCGCGTACCGCGACCCCCTCTACCGCAGCAGCAGTGGCGATGGTAGCGCCACCTATACAAATAACACGTACGTGAGAGTGTCGCCAGAGGAGGTCGCAGCTGGGTGTCTTCGCAATCGTTGCTTATTTCAACTGCAGTGTACAACCGAAAGGTCAGCACAGTGGAGCGTGCTCGCCGTCCAACGACGTTAAATGTTAAAATTACAGCCAAAGAGTG